TTGACTGCGCCTGATTTCTTTGCAGTCGTGTCAGATTGCCGACCTCTCCTGCTATGAGAGTGGAGGGATTGATAGTTTACATGTGCTTGCGCACACACTTGTTCACTGCACGTGTTCCTGCCACCAAATAATAATGCTTGCTTTGCTGTGTTTCGATCTAAAGGGTATAGAAATCAGTATAATTACAGTTGAGGCATTCTATCTGAGTCCCTCTCCCTCAGAAGTGGCGCGTCTGTAGCGTCCTTTGAAGTTTGTGTCAGTAAGAGTCGTGGTAGATCAGTGGGTTAGCGCTCGCTGTAAATTTCATACTACGCGAGTTCCCGGATACGATCCCCTCCGTTAACAATGAAATTGTTAATTGCAATTTTAAGTGCTGATTTACAACATGCTCTGCGATTAAGCGGGCTACATACGACACGATATCGGTGGCGATCTAGGGTGGAGTAGTGGGGATGCCTCCTAGATTGCCTCTAAATCGTGTCGTATGTAGGGCCATCCTAAGTCGTGCCCGATATCGCCTCCTTAATCGGCTGGCAGGAGCAAAAACGCAGCCGATGCTTCCTAGATCGGGGCCCCGCCCCCTCCATACTGCGTGTGTGTAGGCGCATCGGCCCGATTTCTTTTGACAGTCGCTGCCGGCAGCCCTCGCGGAAGGACGTTAACGAAACAGTGATACTGAATGACCTTTTCTACATAACAAAATTTTTACATTTTAATCATGTGAACGGAGTAGAAGCCTATGGCACTCATATTTTACAAAAAAAAATTGATTGAATAAAATAAATAAGTTAATTAAAATCTATCGAAATTCAAATCATATCCACCCTAGCCTGTGACCCTGCGAAGTGACATGGTCAAGAATGCCTACTAAACTAATTGTTTTATTGCCGTTCGTAAAGTAGGGTGTATGAAGTAAGTAAGGAGAAAATAAAGCCTCTCCTCAACAACTAACTCCTATTCCCACGCTATCTCCACAAGACCGCACTCAGATCTCTTACGTGCCTTCAGCCTCTCATCAACAACTAACTCTTATCTCTTCAGCATCCCCACTTTAACAAACATACTATATAGGAGGGAGTATGTCCGAAATTAAAGGTTTCTTTATGTAAAAAAATAGATATAAGCTATTTTATTTTTTGATAGTTTTAGTCCATAAATAAAGATTACATTAAAAAAAATAAAAGTATACATATTATTATAGAAAAGTATTTTATTTCTTTGTTTGTTGTGTGTAATACATAACCCGATTTTGACCAAAGCAGAAATGAACAAAGAGAAGAAATAACTAAATAGCATAGGTAGGAGACATTGATGTTTTTATATAAGTGGCGAAATAATTTCTAGAAGTTTGTAAAAACTGTCTTAATCCATCCGGAGAAAATTAATCATATCTTTGGATTACAGACCATTTAGTACGTTTATGTGGCTTAATTTTTTGTCTTTTGGACGTTTGATTTTTTCACCCAGCAACTCCTCTTTTTCTATTTTCGAATAAATTAACCGAAAGGGCTAATACCAAACCAACACGTTGGTATTTTAAGAGAGTCGGAGGCATTTTGAAGAGCTCTACCGCATATGCATTCCGCTCCAAGTCCGAACGCGTACTGCTAGGCAGGCCCGTGTGTAGGGTCTGCCCCGATAAAAGCCCCGATTTCTTTCCACCCTAGATCGCCACCGATATCGTCTCGTATGTAGCCCACTTAAGAAAACATCGTGAGGAAACCTCCATGTCAGAGAAATGAAAAAAAAATATTTCGATGATATGTGAAGTAGCCATCACGCATTTGGGCAGCGCGGCGGACACTTCCTTGCCCTAAAAGCCATCTCAGAAGTGAGAAAAAGCCAGTGATGAGGCGTATATAGGATGTTACTTTACTTTACTTTTTCTTTTCGTTCCTTACTTCAGTCTTGTAAAGGAAATTCAGTCTGAAGAACATTGTTAACAAGTGTCTGTCTTAAAGCGCTTTTATCTTAAGAAAAATTTCTTTTCACCTTTTGTATTTTGATCGCATATTGGGTAATGTTTCATCCTTGTATTTTTCGCAAGTTAAATTTTTTAAGTGGTTATAGCGCAAATACTATAAAGTCAATATTCTCTTCGGTATGGCGCCTATAAAGGTTGTCAGGTCTATAACCGTGAGCTATTCCCTTACAAGCCTCTAGATATGCTTTTGTAAGCATTCATGTCAGACAAAAATTAAGCTTTTGATAAAAAGCTTAAACTGATTTTAAGAAACTACAAATAATAAACTAATTTTCACAAAATAGTTTCAGAAGGCTCTAGGGCGTTGTGTGTAAAAGAATAAAAGACCCGAATTTAGAAGGTGTTGTATTGATTTTTGAATTATTTAAGCAGCAAATAGGTTCTTAAAATTGCCCACGGGCGTTTTCATCAGGCGCGAGTAATTCAACGCTAGTATTCATTAAAGAATTCTCTAAGAGGGTCTCAAATTTTAGACAGAGGTGCGGCTGACATATGCAGATAAATATAAAGCAGGCGTTCATCTTATCAATTTGATTGAAGACAATATAACGTTTCAATTATGTCTTACACTTGAAGTGTTTATTTATTTTAAAACATAACAAGGCTGCTATACTTGTTTATTTACGAGTGAGAGTTGCAGGTATGTTCTAAAGCTAAGTTGAAGTAAAAAATAAGTATATAAAGAAAATAATTTTAAGCAGCTGTTAACATTTTTCAACTATTATAAACCAGTGTTTGACTACTATTCCTCCCGATGGTAATTGGTGATTCGTCCGAAGATGGTAAAGTACAAGTTCTAGCTTAATAAAAGTCTATTCACTCTTGCCTTAAAGACATTTATATTGTAATTATGATCGGATAGAACAAATTATTCCTGTCCTTTGTTGCATGCTTTATGTATGACGAAGCACACCGTTTGTCCTATCAGACTACCAGCCAAACATCTGATGTTCCAATGGCGCAACGAAGAGAAAGAAATTAATACATGCAATTTTTGTGCACAATGCATCTTGCGAACACGAAATGCATACTGTAAAATGGTGACATAACTTATATCTTATATTTTTTATAGGTAAAGAGTGTCAAACTAGAAACACAGTTCAGGGTAAGTGGTTGCTGTGGCCCATAGACATCTTCATCTATCCTCGACTACGAATCAAAATGCAGACGCTTTTCCACCCGTGAGGAGTTAGATGGAATGCCTTGTTTCCAGTAAAAAGGGTTTTCGATTCTCTACACTCACCATCCGAAACACAGCAGCGTTAAGCTGCTACTTTACGCTGATATTCTGTAAGGGCGTGGTCGTGGTCGAGCCGATCTACTTGTGCTACAACTATACTACTAATATAGCTGCAGCACGGCTCTACCACGTAATATATATATATATATATATATATATATATATATATATATGTATATATATACCAATTACATATTACCAATCCGCTTGTCATATATATATAAGTAGCTTTTTCTTCGTGTAACCGAACACGCTGTGAATTAGATTGCAGCAACTGAATAATGGTGGAAAATCAATTCAATGTTGCCGAACAAAATTCTACAGACTTGTCATGTATACATTCTATGTTTAGAGTGGTTAGTATAAGTTAAATGTTTCAAAGTTGAGTTATTTGCAAATATTTAAAAGTTTGGGTGTTTGGCCCAAGAATAATAAAGAAAAAGAAGATAAAATTGCGCTTTTCTGTCAAGAAATTCTCAATAGCAGCCTTAAGTTCGTGGCGGTATTTCACTCCCTAGCAACGTAAAGCACGTGAACCCGCTGGTCATGGTCATGATCTCGCTCCAGTCGTGTCGCTTTTCTATCCCATCACTATGAGTGTGAAAGGATCATGGAGTATAGAGGCAAGGAGCACAATCTACCATAGGAGAATAGTTGAAAATGTGTCCTTCTGTAAGCAGTAAATAACAGTTCAAAAACTCTCCACAACAGCGCACTACTAGCTACAGGGTATGATAAATCACCGTAAAATACGTTAAGAGTGATTTTGAAAATAAAAATTTTGAAGGCAATAAAATAATTTTTGTAAAAAGAATTATGGTGAAAGTCTGTGCAATAAAAATTATAAAAAGTTCTTTAAAATTTCGACTGTAGCTACAGTGGCGCCACCCTTATTTAGTGCATTCTTATGGACACATTTTTTTACAGAGTCTGTACTCCTTACCTCTACACTCCATAGAAAGGATAGTACTTGTGCTAGCGCGTACACGGACACTATAATCCTGTACTGCGCCAATGGCTAGTCTCCGTTGAGACTGGTCGCCGTGACCGAAATTCGGTCTGGAAGACATTATTATTGCTGGTAGTTTTGTCATGAACTAACTTACTTTTAGTAAATCAGTGAACAGGGAATTATGATGTCATTCTAGTCTTAAATTTAGAGGTTTATAGGTGTCTATCGCGACGAGTAATAATCTAAATGGCGACGAAACACCCACATGTTGCATTGCATACATTGGCGTGTTTGACATTTTGGATAATTTTTCACCTAGGTGAAATATACCTTAGGGTTTTGTATTAGACGTTAAAATCGCTTCTTTTTTAGTCGGAAGACATTAGTTTGAAAAATCGCAAATAGATCTCTAGATGTGTTCAGTGCCGTAAATCAATTAAATGCCTATATATATAATTTGCTGTGGAATGTTAAAGTTTAGTTTGTATTATTATTCCATTTGGTTAGATAAAATGTATCAATCTTATTTTAATACTCATTAAAATACTGCTATTGTTTTGCTTTCTAAAGTAATTTTAGCCTGAACAAATATAATTTAACGCTGCCGATAAAAATAACTTTCTCCTAATAGCATTAATGGATTTATTTAAAGGTCACCAATAGGGTTTTATTCTTATTGGCAATAAAGCAAACTAATTATATCCTAATTTGTCAATGTTTTAAATACACGCACAACATGTTTATCGATACCGTTGTGATAGCTTTTATTGATTATTTCATACGTGAAGTCAAACAATTTACCTATGTATATCTTTTCTTTTCAGGTTTGATCGCAGAGCAGTAAATCTGACACGAATGAGAACAAAAGTGTTTAAGCGCTCAAATTTATAACAAACTATCGCTAATAGCGTTGTAAAAACCATTACTATAACAACCTTAATTGGAAAATCGATTAAAGCCGTATTTGCAACGTGCGTAGTGTTACGCCGTTGTCGGTGCGTCGTTATCGATAACACGTCGCGTCGCACGTGTTATTTCGCCTGTCGATACAACAGTCGGTGCTCGCCGGAGTCACGCGACTCGGCTTGCACGCCCCGCCACAGTCGTGGATAACCTCGGCCAGAGCCCCCTACCGGTGAAGAGGCTGCACGAAGCGCTTCAGAGTGCGCAAGTGAAGCGACAGCGGCTCTCCCCTCCGTATCCCGCTCCCCCCCGGCTCCCTTCATCCGATACATCAGCTCGCTGTGCACCAGCACATCAAAGTGCAGCAAAGCATTGTGCAACAGAGCATCGTGCAGCAGCACCAGTTGACTCTGGCTCACCAGTCGCTACAGAGTCTGCAGGCGCAACAGAGCCTCCAAGCAGCGCAGAGTCTGCAGGCTGCCCAGGGACTGCAGTCAGGTCAAGCGCTGCAAGCGGCTCAGAGCCCCACGGCTACGGGCAGCGCGGGCACCCAGCAGGCGTCAGGAGCGACACAAGGCGCCCTGGTACCGACACAGCAGTCGTCTCCGCAGCCCGCTTCCCCGCAACACAAGAACATGGAGCTCGCACTTTGTCAGAGCATGGACTCCGTAAACACCGCTACAACTGAAGAAGAGGTAGGTGTATTTCAATTTTAATTTTAAAATGTTTGTTATTTATAAAAAAATGCGCCCTGTGGTGGAACTTCAAGAGAATTTAAAGTAAAGTAAAAAGTAAAGTTACAGCCTATATACGTCTCACTGCTGGGCACAGGCGTCCTCTCATTTCTGAGAAGGTTTTAGGGCAAGGAAGTCTCCGCCGCGCTGCCACAATGCGTGTTGGCGAACTTCACATGTCTTCGAAATATTTTTTTCTTCTTATTTCTCAGACATGCAGGTTTCCTCACGATGTTTTCCTTCACCGCCGAGCACGTGGTAAATCAGCACATAAAATTACAATTAACAATTTCATTGGTGCCGGCGGGGATCGAACCCGGTTTGCTCGCGTATTGTAAAATTTACGGCGAGCGCTAACCATCTGCGCTACCACGGCTCAAGAGAATTTGTCATCCCATTTTGTCTCGTAAATGTTGAAAGGGCTTCTACAGAAAATGCTGGAATGATTTCATGACGTTTTCTAGATAAGAGTCATTATCGTCTCATTAAAATCAGATATATAACGCACAAGGCGGGAAGTAGCTTTTAAAGTACGAGGTGTCAGTTACTGTGATCACAAATTCACCCGTGGCGATTACATCAAAATCTATCTGCGGCTTCCAAAGTTCATGTCCATCACTGGGCTGTTAAGAGGGAAAATAAAGGGGGAAACATTTTAAACACATCCGATCTATTATTGGAAAATTTTTGTGCAGGAATCGTTATGTAGTTTTTGCTCCCCGGCAGATTCTTTTGGTAATGGGTTAAATAACATTCTCGAACGTTCTAGAATAAATTATCATCAATTAGAATAATAATTGGAGATTGTACTGGATTAATTATTTTCAATCTAATATGACGTATTGGATTTTTACCAGCTCGCTACTAGCTAATAAATAACTTCAACAGAATGTCACACTGACCTTATAATGGCTAAAATAATTAGGATTAATACAGTGAAATTATAAAAATACAGGAAATTAAAAAAATGAAATTAAAAAAATACATAAGTAATTTCAGTGCAGTTAGAAAAGAAACTAAAAATGCATATATTTGTCTGTATTCTACTGATATTTTGAGCTATCACTTGATCCTTGTTGGATAGTAGAGGAGAAGTATTTTATTAATTTTACGATAACAATACACACTACAAAACCTACCTAAGCTCGCATTTGGCAGGAGACTTAATGTATCTCTGTAGATAGTTCAACAATTTATCATCAAACAATTGTAAACCAATACCAAAAGATGCGGTCTCGAAGCTGCTACAATGGGGTAAACGTACGGATATACAATAAGCACTCCGTAACACAATAAAGGGGAATTTTGTTCACGACGTTAGTTCCGCGGAACGTAAGATTATTGTATCATTTACCTAAAGGTTATAGTTCTTATTCATGCAGAGTAAAGGTACGAGTATGGGGTATGTAAAGGCAGAAGTAGTTCATAATATTTATAGATATGTACTTCTATAGAGTCGTTGTGGTTGTGGCTCGACCACACATACAGACTATGATCGAGATAGTTTCCCATCAAAGTTTTTTTTTTTAACTTGAGTGTTGCTCAGACTAAAAAAGGTTTATTAGGTTTATTAGATTTAACATGCTTACCATTTTTGCTTTGATAACTTCTGATAATTTTTCGTCATAGACTTATTGATATGATATGGTGTAGTACTTAAAAGTAACATTTTCATAAAACATTCGTTTCTCCACAACTACCCATTGCTAAATTGAGCAATGTTTGTGAAATTTTCTAAAGGAATGTTTTTATTTGCAAAATTTCCAACTTTTCTGGAAAGTTCCACGGTGACTCGAAACGGTACCTTCCACAGAGTATAATAAGTACTTTATATACACTTATGCCATACATAAATACAGACTTCCAGGAGACGTCTGACAGCCTGTGATTATCCATCCAGTATTATTTTACTCTTAGTTGTAACAGAATGAATTTATTTTTTTTATTGAAAGATACCTAACGTGAATCTTTACAATTTCCTGCGTATAAGCGCTAGTTTTAAAGCTTATGTAGTGTGAATTAGTGCGGCTTCTTTTAACGTCCACCTCTCTGTAATACATTTTCTCCAACATGTTTTCAGACTTAATAATTTGTTTTAGTTGCTAAAAATATACTTTCCGTATTGCATATTATGCTAAAGTGGAGTTAAAGAACGTTTCTTAAAATTTTTGGTAAGTCTAAAACAGAAATATAATAAACAATTTAGCAATTCAAGAACTAGTTGTCTAACCTGCTTCATACAAGAGTTACTTGTATTACACCATAAAATGAGTTAATTACTGAGCGAGTAGTATGAGTTATTTTTTTTATTTTTTGTCGTATTAATTTTTTCTTACCTTAGAAGCACGGTTAGCTTATCGTGTAGTTAAAAATGTAGACAAAGAAAATATTCAGATATGTATTTTTTATGAATAAGTGTTACAAATGAACAAACAGTCAACTAGATTAATGTTAAGTGGATGCATGGCCAACCTTTGTCAACCCTGAGCACTAAAATTGAATGCCTCCTTCTTTACAGTAAAAAATCTAGCTGCTATTTTACGCTGTTATTCTGTGAGAGCGTGGTCCAACCCCGTTAGAGGCTATTTGTGTTGCATATAGCTGTAGCATGGCTTTACCACACACACACACACGCATATATATGTAGACAAAGAAAATATTCAGATATGTATTTTTATGAATAAGTGTTACAAATGAACAAACAGTCAACTAGATTAATGTTAAGTGGATGCATGGCCCATGCAAATGCAGATGCGTTGTCAACCCTGAGCACTAAAATTGAATGCTTCCCTCTTTACAGTAAAAAAATCTAGCTGCTATTTTACGCTGTTATCCTGTGAGAGCGTGGTCCAACCCCGGTAGAGGCTATTTGTGTTGCATATAGCTGGAGCATGGCTTTACCACACACACACACGCATATATATGGGACATTCTGTATATGATTAACGGTAATATTTTGCTTATAATATAGGAATACTTTTGTGTAAAATTTGTAATCCTGGGTATTTTCTTTGAAATTTCTTAGTCGTTTGATTTCGGAAAATAAAACGGAAACAGCTATAAGAAGGAAAAGCGATAAAATCCTTAGCGCAAACTGCGAGAAGGCGACGTGAAGTGGGCAACAGTGGCGTTTGCCGAGACAAATAGAGTGATGTCGCCACCGCTCGCCCCACCCCTGTGTTCGGACAGCTTTATAAATAACTTGTTTTTATATCCAACACTATCGTTTCATTTCACTTTATTACTGTCTTGTTGTAGAATGGTGCGATAATGGAGTCTTAGTAAACTTTTCATTGTGCAATGTTGCTTGAATATTATTTGTACACGTTTTGATTTTACATTTTCCACTTAGTAAATTTGTTAATTTACTAAGTGGAAAATGTATCACTTTAGGATGCTGGTGAGCTCAAGACATCTTTGATCACACGGCAGATGAAATTGTTCCATTAAATGATTTTTGTGGTATTATTGCAAGTTACAGAGTAATTTTTACCAGGAAATTTAAACAGAATATTGTTAAAATCATGTATATCGTAGCCCCGGTGGATTTTGCTATTGAAATCGACACATCCAAATTTGGGAAATGCAGAATGCACCCGAATGGCTATTGAATCATTTTAATCTAAAAAAGCAATTAGTTGAATTTTCACAGAAGCCTTGAAGGTCAGACCTTTTTGACTCTTGATGTCCTAAGTTGACTCTTTTAGCCAAAGGAAGAGATAAAGTGGAAGATTCTCTATTGATACCACAATATCCAAGTTTTCATGACATTATAACCCAGAGTAATTCTGCTGAGCATAGGCCTTCGCCCATAGATTACCTCAAAGCTCTTAAAGATCCGGTTACGTTTCAGGTCTGGATATTTGCCTTGTAAAATTTATGTAATGAAACTACCCTCACGATACAGGAGAAAATCTAAAAAAAAAAAAAAGTTCTTTTTCTTTCTTAAGTACCTATTAAGGGTTAAAACTAGAGATGCCTCGATACGCCTTTTTGCCGATACGATACCGATACCGATGATCGAATAAAAATATCGGCGATAAAACACAAGTCAGGTTATTTTTTATTAATATAAAAAGAACAAATAACAGGACAAACTAAGTAAAACTGTTTAAAACTATAGACAAGTTGTGATTAGTTTATAGTTTTAGTAATTAAAATTAACATTGATGAGGTTTTTGTTTTAAAAACAAAGTATTCTTAAGTTTTGCTGAGAAAAGTGATTTCGTAACTTTGTTTGAATAAGACCTGCGGTGGAAAATAGGCTCTCAGATGCGACAGAACTCGTTTGGAAACTAAAGTACTTCTGCGCCATTTTTTTCCAGTTTGGATATAAGACGTTATTGCGCTAGAAAACGAACGGATCTGCGCCTCTCGATATATTAAGAGACCTTAGCTAGAGTGTTTCCTTCTGTGATATCTTCTTCTTTGAGATCATTACAACTTACTTTGAAGTAGACAGTGGAAACTAAGTATCAAGACACAGCACAGCATAGTTAGTTCTTACCTCGTTTGCAAGGGAATAGATTTTAAAGCACGAAATTTTAAAAGTACCGTTGAATCGGCCATAAAAATATCGCCGATGCTGATATATCGGCAAACTTCGAGTATCGCCGATATATCGTATCGGATGCATCCGCAGTTAAAACATAATTACAAACTAAGATTTTTCCTACATAATTAAACATAAATACTTACGCCTGTCACCTAGAGATAGAGACTATGGACTTCCATTTGGCACGATCCTGACACGCCTCTCTCGCATCATTTAAATTCAAATACGTAGTATGCGTAGATACATGCTCGTCGGTTATGAATACTCTTAATTTGGTCCATTATTCAATATGTCGCCAATTTGATCGATAAACTCTTGTCTAGGGCATTCCTTACCGATTTTGCCGTTCAAATCTGCAACATATATTGTCTTTGTCACTCTTTCCTTATTCATTCTTTC